GTCGTGATGTTTCCCAAAACAGCTCAGTGTTTGTCTACTGACAATCACAACGTTTGTTTAGTTTTCTCTTGTACACTTTGTTCATCCTTGTAATTTTGTTTTCCTTGATTTGCTTCTATGTACACTGTTGAACTCTGTTATATTGCTTTGGTCGAATGAATAATAATCATAATGACGTAACTGACGTGTGGCAGCAATCGGAAAAATCATACGGTAATACTTCCCGTGTTTAATCTGTATGCGTGCGAAAATTTTCAGGACAGTCATAAAATGCCATTTTAGCTGGCGCTGGACGTAAAGTGTTCAATCAAGTGGCATATTGGTACTGGGATCAGGGTGAGATTTACCACTTATCAAGCAGGTGAGTTTTCATGTCATCGACATCTCCCCGGCGCAAATCCATCCTTGGACATAGTTGTGCCGAGGTACATCTGCTACATCTGGTCTGGCTCGACCCAGCCAGCCAACACCGGCGAGCTCGGTGGTCGAGTGGTAAAGACGTCTGCACTAATAAGCAGGAAGTCGTGGGTTTGAGTCCCACCCGAGTAAGATTGTGGGATTTTTTTCACAAGCCTTCGGGGGCAAACACTGAGTATACAACATTATAATACACGTTGAGCAAGGCAAAAAATCCATAATTAATTAACATCTCCCCGGCGCAAATCCATCTTTGGAAATAACATAACAGTTCATCTGGTAGAGTACCAAGTGTGGCCAACTGTGCTGTACTCCATCAAACGGTGAGACCCTCTTTTGGCAGTTTGTTCTTTATACTGTGTTTACATGTCTTGGAGTGGCATGTATCGTTATGTCATATTACACGGAAATTGCCAAGTTTTTTTAAGTATGTAATTTTCTTCACTGCAAAAACTATGCTGTTAAATCAACGCATTTTGGTGTTGTCAGATGACCACACTTTAGGGTGTTACTTTAACACTGCTGGTGTTACTTTGCACACTTATAAGTTTTACAATGCACTGATTTTTGGTATCTCTCACTTTTGTCAGGGCGTAAAACTCTTCGATGTGCGCGTGTTTTATGCAAAACTAAATTGGGCTTGGAGATTAAAGGCTAACAAAGATGTCAAGAACTTTGCCTCGTTTTTGCATCCACCCTGCACCTACTGAAATATGAAATGACCTTAAAGGTATCCAACATCAAAGAAAATACAAGCCACGAGGGTCTTTGTTTTCGGGGAAAAATAGACATTTAAAATGCATTATCTCTTCCGTGTGATATAAATCTTCAGGCAACTGGGAATTCACACTTACGAAGAAGTACAACTGGTTTTTATACCGTCATGGCTGGAGTGGTTTTTGTATGCACCCTAAGAATTCATATGCGTCACTGTTTTCACAAAGAATTTTCGCTGTGCAGCACAAAATTAAACTTTCGGGAAAATCACGGCCACTTGTTAGAACAGGGAATTCGCTGAGGTTCAATTAACGAGTTGATTGATTAAGTATATTGTGCAAAAGAATGTACATATATTTTAAAATGCCAAAAATGCTACAAGAAAGNATCGTGATGTTTCCCAAAACAGCTCAGTGTTTGTCTACTGACAATCACAACGTTTGTTTAGTTTTCTCTTGTACACTTTGTTCATCCTTGTAATTTTGTTTTCCTTGATTTGCTTCTACGTACACTGTTGAACTCTGTTATATTGCTTTGGTCGAATGAATAATAATCATAATGACGTAACTGACGTGTTGCAGCAATCCGAAAGATCATACGGTGATACTTCCCGTGTTTAATCTGTATGCGTGCGAAAATTTTCAGGACAGTGGGTGTGGATCCATGCAGCGTTTCTTTAAAGAGAAGAGAAGGTATAGGAGTTGGCCTTTATGAATTGTTCAAGTAGTGATGTTAGGAAGCTACTTAAGGGTACCCTCGGCACTGAAAGTGCCCCCCAAAACTGTGTTTTAGATCGCTTATAATATTTCAAAGATCAATTAAAAATATATATTTTAAAGAGAAATGTAGAGAAGACATACGAGACGAAACATTACAAATTTCAAGTACTGTAAGTTGTAGAAATGTTAATTCAATACAACGGGGTTTGCCCTTACATCGCCGTATATGACACTGGATACTCAGTGTTTGTTCGAGAGCTTGCGAAAAATATACGGCATCTTCTCAGGTGGGGCTCGAACCCACAACCTCCAGTGTACTAGTACAGAGGCCACATATTATACGAAAATTGCCAAGTTTTGTTGAGTATGTAATTTTCTTCACTTCAAAAACTATGGTGTTAAATCAACACTTTTTGGTGTTGTCAAATGACCACACTTTAGGGTGTTACTTTAGAACCGCCGGTGTTACTTTGCACACTTATAGGTTTTACAATGCACTGGAGGTGTTAAAAGTAACACCAAATAAAACCCGTATAAAGTGTTGGCGTAGTCCTCTGATAACACCGAGGTGTTGAATTTAACACCCCAGGTTTTGCATTGCTCGCACATTTAAGATTGTAAATAAATCTGACTTTGTATCTCATGTTTTTACAACTGATTTTTGGTATCTCTCACTTTTGTCAGGGCGTAAAACTCTTCGATGCGCGCGTGTTTTATGCAAACCTAAATTGGGCTTGAGCTTGGAGAACAAAGACGTCAAAAACTTTGCCTCGTTTTTGCATCCACCCTGCACCTACTGAAATATGAAACGACCTTAAAGGTATCCAACATCAAGGAAAATACAAGCCACGAGGGTCTTTGTTTTCGGGGAAAAATAGAAAATTAAAATGCATTATCTTTTCCGTGTGAAGTAAATCTTCAGGCAACTGGGAGTTCACACTTACGAAAGAAGTACAACTGGTTTTATACCGTCATGACTGGAGTGGTTTTTGTATGCATCCTAAGAATTCATATGCGTCACCGTTTTCACAAAACGAGGATTTTTCGCTATGCAGCGCAAAACTAAACTTGCAAAAAATAAGGCCACTTGTAAAAACAGGGAATTCGCTGAGGTTCAATTAACGAACTGATTGATTAAGTACATTGTGCGAGAGAATGTACATGTATTTTAAAATGCCAAAAATGCTACAAGAAAAGCCAGCCTCCTCTCTGCATACAACCT